TTTTTATATAGAGAGAAAATTTCAATTTTCACTATGTTTTATTAGTAAATTTAGCCCCTGAGTTATTACTTTTGGTCGTCACTGTATATAATGCAATAATAATTTATAAATTAACTATTAATTTTATTATATTTGTATTTAAAAATATATTATATTTAAAGAAATACTTAGAAAAATTTAATTATAATTATAATTTTTTCTTTTTTTATGATAAATCTTATATATAATTTTTTTATTTAGATACTTTTAAAAAGTTTAAATATTATTAATTTTAAAAATATAAAATATAATTTTTCTTTTTTAAAATACTTTTAATAATATTATAATTCTTTAATTTTATGATAAAGTTAATATAAATTAATTATATATTATATTTTTATATAAAAATAATTTTATATTAAATATATTCTAATTAAAATTAATTTCTGAATTAGTTCAAAAATATTATCTAAATATTTATATAATTAAATTATTAATAAATTTTGTTTAAGCTATTCAAGATTATTTAAATATTAATTTTAATTATAATTTATAATATCAAGTAAAAGTTTATTTTAATTAGTTAAAGATTAGTTTATATTTTGATATAATAATTAATTAAAAAATATAATTTAAAATTAGTTTATAAATTTATATTCAAATTATATAATCTATTTTTAATATTATTATTATTAGTTTTTTAAATTTTATTTTATAATATCTTTAAATATAAAATTTTTATATTAAATACTTGAATTATATTAATATTAAACTTTATCAAGAATACTTAATTCTATATAATAATATATGTAAATATATTATATATATAAAGAGTGATAGATTTATATACAAAATATATATGTATAATATATGCAAGTCATAATCAAAATATTATTTTATATGACATTTTTATAAAACTTTAATTAATAAATTATATTATAGAATTTTTCTAATTGTTTTTTAAAATTAATTTTTTTAATTTAAAAAATTAATTAAAAATTCTAATATTATTTAGTAAATATTAATGAATATATATAAAAAGTTTTATATTTTTAGTTTTATATTTTTAAATAGTTTTTTTATTAAATTATAATAAATTTAAGAAATTAAGTTTTTTTTATTATTGACTGTATATTATTATAAAATTTATATTATTAATTGCTGCAACAAATAAATTTCTTGCTTGTTATATTATTAATATGTTAAAGAAAGAACTGTTTTATAAAAATTAAAGATTTACTAATTATATATTATTGTTTAATTTATTGAACTATATATTCTCTACAATTCAATAACCAAATCATCTGAAAATAATCTTTTAGAAAAACTTACATAACAATTTGCTCTTCAATAACTTTCTGATCTAACCCCAGTTTTTTCAAACAAGTAAAATAACAATCCAAATCATTCTCCTTCAGAAATTTGAGTATCTTTTGTCTCCTTTGTACCATCTTTAGTAGTCGTCGATATCTGAGACTGTCTCTTCGGGCTTTTTTGATGTGTTGATGAAGCTTGAGAATACGAACTGTCAAGACAGCAGCTTTTTTTATTAAAGAAATAAAATTTTTTTGTTTGAGAATGATTTATTAATAATAAATTAATATTTTGCTTAATTTGAATAGATTCAATTCATCCACCTTGAACTTCAGGACTCCCTGTATCCCCTTCAAATTTGCGAAAGTCTTTCATCACCTCACGAATAATAACCTTAACTTTAACGTTCTTATTATCCAACAAAACATATTTTTCGAAATGCGAAAATTTCTCTTCATCTTTAGATTCACCGCCATTATTCTCAAATTGAGGCGGCTGTAGTAGGATTGGTTGTTGCTGTTGTTTATTCAACTTTTTCGACATTGCATCAGACAACTTTTCGTCATTCTGATCAATTAAACCATGT